GAAGAAGAAGAAGAAGAAGAAGAAGAAGAAGAAGAAGAAGAAGAAGAGGAAGAGGAAGAGGAAGAGGAGGAGGAAGAAGAGGAGGGAGAGGGGGAGGGGAAGGTAAAAATACCCTTGCTCTGGGATTAAAAGTTCCATTCTGGCCTGCGAAGGTATGGATTCACTTGTCTATTCTGTATCTTAAAATACTATTTCCTATGTCCTAGGTAGAACTCTATTACCTAAGTATTTCTTCAAATTTTACAAACACCCTCCATCTCCTCCCTTGCAACAGCCTCAACTCCCTGATCCTTTGCCCTGATTCTTTTCCATCCACTCACCTTACCAAATTCCAACTCTGGTTAAATCCAACTCTTCATTACTTCTTCATCTATACACCTTTGACTAAACATGGATAGAGTAAAACAATAATCATACTCATGGATGCTAGTGGAACTCATGATCACTAGTCCCAAGCAGACCTTAGTGTTTAGCAAACCTACCAAATTCCCTTTGCCCTCTCACTTCTCCACCCTCTTAGATTACCATTTCATACCTACTTCTCTCTCACCATACCTTCAATACTTCTTCATCTCCTTCACCATCCTTACTCTCAGGTGATAACCATGTTTTTTATATTACTGAGAAGAGCAATCGGAAGAAAACTTCCAATATATATTTACTTGTTTGTCTCCCCTCCCCCCATTAGGATGGGAAGGAACTGTGTTATCTCCAGGACCTAGAATGGTGCCTGCACCATTCTGTATACCTAATCAGCATTTTGGGTTGATGAAAAAAAAATCAGTAAAATAGATAAACAAGGGGAACAAAACTCTCCTACAAGAGTCATAAGAAGGCTCATGTTAAGTAACTCTGGTGCCCAAGGTTAAATTAAAAGTAAATCTACCATCTCCCAGTTCATTGTTCTAGACCCAAATCATTTTGATATTATGGTGTTATCACAAAATCTCCTCTGCTCTTTCTCCAAAAGTTCCACAGTCGCCTTTATTCAACTTAAGAATTTGAGAGACATATTTTTTCTGCCACGATTTCCAAACACACTTTGCTATACTTCTACCTTCACAGAGATAGTAGGATGATTACTTAATGTCATAAATATTTTATTTCTATTGAATTTTTCATAATAATTTTACAGCTCATTTGAACAATAGAAAGTAGCTCATATAACAGCATTCGTAGTTACATTGTGCAATACTTTTTTCAGTGATCTGTTACGTATTTGAAAGGTGTGGAAAAGTCTAAAAATAAAAGTCTGTTTAAAATAAGCTCTTCCCCTACAAATTCTGGCCCTGGAAAGAGATAGTCTTCTCTAATGATTTTCACAACGGGGTCTGATTTTCCCTGCAAATTCTAATTTACATGCCTATCAAGCACATAGTTCAAAATCAAATGGTCTGAGTTGTTTGGAGTTTATTCAAATGCCACTTTTTTTGTAAGAATGAGTTATGCATTTAAAAGATTTTGCCTGATGAAGAACTCTGAGTTTCTGATGTAAGGATACAGGGATGGAGGAGTAGGCAGATAAATGGAAGGGCATTAACTTGAGAAATAAAAGTCAATGCTCAATATTAGCACCTTTTCCCCAATCTCACTATAAAATGCTGTCAATTTTTAGTTTCCATAAATAGACTCCATATACTGACACCATCAATGTTTAGCATATCAAAACTGAGAATGTACTGTAGGTATTCTCCCTAACTTCAGCAATGTCATGAAATCACTTAAAGAGAGAGAAAATAATATTCATCAAATATAAATATAAATATTATTTAAGGGAAAATACTGTGACACGAAAGCTTTTTACTCAGTATTACTGTCATTCAGTGTGAAAGCAAGAGAAATTCATCCGAAGAATGTTAGGGCACAAATCATATAAAAATTACTTATCTTTTATTTAAAAACATATTACTTTAGGGGCGCCTGGGTGGCTCAGTCATTAAGCGTCTGCCTTCAGCTCGGGTCATGATCCCAGGGTCCTGGGATCGAGCCCCGCATCGGGCTCCCTGCTCAGAGGGGAGCCTGCTTCTCCCTTTCCCTCTGCCATTCCCTCTGCTTGTGCTCTCTGGCTCTCTATGTCTCTGTCCCAATAAATAAAATGTTTAAAAAAAATAAAAATAAAAAATAAAAACATATTACTTTAAGATATAGTCAGCTGTTAACTGGAGGTTTTTCATAGATGTTCCTTATCAAGTTGAGGAAGTTCCTCTCCATTCCTACTTTGCTAAGAGTTTTTACCATGAATGGGTGCTGGATTTTGTCAAATCCTTGTTCTATGTCAAATGAAATGATATGATCTTTCTTTTTTTAGCCTGTTGAAATAGTAGATTAGTGATTGATTTTTTTCATGTTGAACCCACTTTGCATATGTGGAATAGATCCCACTTGGTTGTCATGTAGATTCAATTTTTGTTGAGTATTTTTATATGAATATTCATGAGAAATATTGGTCTATAGTGTTCTTTTCTAGTAATGTCTTTTTCTGGTTTTGGTATGAGGGTAGTGCTGGTCTCATAGAACAAGTGAGGAGAGTTCTCTCTGCTTCTATTTTTGGAAAAGATTGTAGATTTGCCAAAAATGAAAAACAGAAACATCATGGTGTTTCTTTGTTTTGGAAGTTTATTAATTATTAATTAATTTTTAATAGATATAAGATGATTTAGGTTATCTATCTCTCCTAGTGTGAGTTCTGGCAGTTTGCTTTTCAAAGAAAGGGTCGTTTCCCCTAAATTATCAATTCAGTGGTTATAGAGTTGATCAAAGTATTCCTCTATATGCTCTAATGTCCTTGAGATGAGTTGTGATGGCCCTTCTTTAACTTCTAATATTGGTAATCTGCTTCTTCTCCCTTTGTTCTTGGTTAGCCTGGCTAGAGGTTTATTAACTTTGATGATCTTTTTAAAGAACCAGCTTTGAGTTGTGGTGATTTTCTCTAATGTTTTCCTATTTTCTAGTTCATTGATTTCTGCTCTAAAGTTTCTTATTTCTTGTCTTCAGCTTGCTTTCAGTTAAATTGCTCTTCTTTGTCTCCCTAAGGTAGAAGCTTAGGGTTTTAATTTTATATCTTTCCTCTTTTCTCATATATGCATTTAATGTGACATACATTTTGCTCTAACCACTACTTTTGCTATATCCCATTAATTTGATAATTTGTAATTTCATTTTCAGTTACTCAAAATATTTTTCTAATTTATCTTCAGGCTTCTTCTTTGGCCCATGGGTTATTTAGAAATGTGTTAGTTTCTAAGCATTTGGAGATTTCTTAGCTATCTTTCTGTTATTGATTCCTAGTTTAATTCCATTGTGGTCTAAGGACATGCCTTTTAAGATTTCTATTCTCTTAAATTGGCCAAGGTGTGTTTTATGGCCAGAATGTGATCTATCTAGTGAATATTCCACGTAAGCTTGAGAACACAAATTCTGTTGCTATTGGATGGGGCACCCTGAATTTTAAAACAAACAAGCATTAAACCTAATACTATTAGAAAACTATTCTATTTTTAAAAACAGTATTTAAATTCATCCTAAACCTTCTAGACACTGGGTCTATGAGTAAAGGTAGAAGAACAGGTAGAGTAAGTCCAAAAGTGAATATTCGATCTTCCAGGAGATGATTTAATACACACATTTTCAGAAACATTCACAAATAAATTGTTCCATGTTATACTTTAAATGGTTTACACATTATAAAATTTTCCTCTTATAATTTGATGTTAACCAAAAACTGACCAAGTATAATATATGTGAATTCATATGCAAGGAATAAACCTATAAAATTTTTCTATAATTATGATTACAGTTGGAAAAATTAAACTTTCATGCCAGTTTTTTTAAAGAGGTAAGAAAAGGCAATGCCAAATGCAAAGAGGAAGATTACATTTTTAGTCTCCTGAGAGATTATTAAAAATAACATGTCATAAAACTTCTAAGAGTATTTGAAATTCTTCATTTATCAGACACCAGTTTTTAATTTAAACGTAATTGGAGAGAATGAAATGAGAGTAAACTACATAGAAAACAGGATAAAAGCACATACCACTGACCACTGATTTCTATAACTCTCTTCCTGAATATTAAAGTCAGTAAGACTGTAGTCAGGATGTTTGCATTTTGCCAGCTACTCTCTTGATAACAAAATTATTCTTCACATAATCTAACAGCATCTACCCAAGAGACTCTACAAAAGCTGAATAAGTAAAGGGTGAAAAGTAATGTGAAAAAAGTCAACTAACCAATCTCTAATCAATTCAACAAAATTCAATCAACTGATCAACTGTGCTGTAAAAAAAGGACTTCACCCAAACCATCTCACAGGCTGTTTATTTTGTGTTTCTAAAGTTCATCCTGGAAGAAGTTGTCAAAACTCCCATTATATTGATTCTAAATTAATAATGCTCTACGATAGTTCTTCCTTATGTCTTATCTCAATTCCTCTTATTATAATTTAAGTTAACCAACTATTATTTCTACTTTGGATAGCCATGCTATTTCCATTCAAACGGTATGATTGAATAAAACTGGTTGTGGATAATTACTAGCATGAATGTAAAGCAAAAGAAGTACCAAATAGTAAAATTTTGTGTTCCAGTTCAACCTCTGTATTTTTTAAATAATAATATATTTAATTGACAGCCTAATTCTTAAGTGTGGCCATTCCTTTGAAAATTACCTTTTGTTGGGGTGCCTGGGTGGCTCAGTCAGTTAAAGTGATCAACTCTTGATTTCAGCTCAGGTCATGATGTCAAGGTCGTGAGATCAAGCCCTGCATTGGCTCCACACTGGGCAGGGAGCCTGCTTAGGATTCTCTCTCTCCCCCTCTGTCCCTCCCCCAACTCTCTCTCTCTCAAAAAAGAAAAAGAAAAAGAAAATTACCTTTTGTTGAATCATCCTCTATTGGCTGTTTGAACAACGTAATATCCTTGAAAGTACATAGGAACAAGACCACCTTTTCATGTTCGTTTCTTATTGGTGCAATTTGCATATAAAACCAAACAGGGGTTCCTGTAAGAGACAGAAAGGACAACAGCATGTGACATAGCCTCAGCAATGATGTGGTCTCCTCCTTGCCTCTTTCTTAAGCTGCCGACTGCTGTGCCAAGAATGAGCACCGAAACAACAGTATTTTAATTGCTTTCAGAATTTAAAAAAAAAAAACTTTAACTTTGTATCAATTACCAATTGCTCAAATATTAATAAACATTTTTCAACCCAAAATATCAAAATGTGAAAGTAAAGCTGAGGGTGACATTGCACCACGCAGGGGCACAAAGGCTGTGTCACTACAGTAACACCTGCATTACCGTTAGGTCTGGGTCCCTGCACCTCCACCGCTCTCTCCAACTTCCTTTTCATACTTTGACCATGTGTGACCACTCCTACATGCTTCTCTCTTCCTGTCCCTTTGAGAAGTGTTTTCAATTGACTTCAACAGCAATCCCTGATGCTCTGATAAGCATTCCTCTTGGAAGAACATTTGAAATGCTATTCCTACCTCAAGGCTCTCTCGTCAGTCAGAGTTATAAGATGGCTCTATGCCTTTGACAGCACCCCCACATCAGAGAGAGAGGATGTCAGCAACGCTTGATGTCTGCTGTACACAGAGCTCTACCTGAAGCTTTTAAGGCGACCTTGAGAGGGGAAAAAAAAAGACATGCCCCCAGCCCTTGAGATTCTCAGGTATCTTCATGAGCCACTGCTTCCTATCTCCTTCACTCAAAGGATGAGGCTTGACTCTGTCACTATGTTCTTTATTTTTTTTTTTGCAGTTGTTCAAATATTCTTTATTTTTTAATAATTTACCAGTTGCGTATAACACCCAGTGCTCATCACATCATGTGCCCTCCCTAATGCTCATCACCCAATTACCCCATCCCCCTGCCCACCTCCCCTCCAGCAACCCCCAGTTTGCTTCCCATAGTCGAGTCTCTCATGGTTTTTCTCCCTCTCTGATGACCTCCCATTCAGTTTTCCCTCCCTTCCCCTACAATCCTCTGAGCTGTCACTAGTTCTTTAAACAATGGCTCCTGCAGGCTCCAGAAAACAGAGTTTCAGAGCACTTAAGGCTTTGGATTTGGACAAACCAGGAATTGGCATTATATCAAACAATAAATATTTGAAGACACAAGAAATGCCTTCAAAGGAGTAATTATCCATTAAACGATAAAACACTGAAGGAATGTTCCATCAGAATCAAAAAGACACACTTTCCATTATATTCTTTCCAAGCCATCATGCAGTAAAGCCTCTCCAAATTTTCTATCTTAAAGACATAAAGGCTTTTGTTAGGTTTGGGATTTGGGGAGTGAAATATGCAGCTATTAATAGTCTCTACGTGAGAGTTGATAGTCTGTTAGTGGTGCAACAAAAACCAAATTAGAAAAACCTTCATACCTTTGGCCAAAAAACTCACAGAGTAATGTCACCACAATAGGGAATCTGTCCTCTACACAAGAAGAGATGGCTTAACTACCAGGTTCAAGAAGTCAGAGAATTAGAAAGAGGAGGTGTTTATAGAATATTCAGTTCTGACAACCAGATCCTTTGCAACCCTGGGGCCCTATGAAAACACGGCCCTTTCCAAAATGATCACTGGGTGAGACAGGGATCTCAAAAACCATCACACCATCTCGCAGAGAGGCTTGTTCTTTGTTCTCACTGCTCCTTCTTCTACACAGTGTACCCAAGAACTGTGAGTGATATACGCAGTTCTACAAATCACCAGACACACATGCTAGCAGATATGTGGCCTATGGCTGTTCCAACACAGTGAGCTTGAGGCAGCAGGGTCATAAACAGAGAAAGGGGCATTAAAAATCAGTCATTTTCCAAGGTCTGTGAAAAATCTGAACAGAAAGAGACGATGTTACATTTTGCACCTTCTATGAAAAGAGCAACTTTTCAAATTTTAGCCTAGAGTCAAGACTGTTTCTTTAAAACTGCTTTCAGCTATCAAAGTTGACTTACAGGGTCAGATTCCCCAAGTAGACGGAGTATTTGCGGAGTGGCTGGTAAAATATCCATACTCTGGTCTGGGGGTTCAAAGGAGCAGAAAGTCTGAGAGCGTTAGGCAGAGAGGCCAGTTGTAGATGGAAACTCAGGGCAGTGTCTTAGCATTGATTATCTGGGCGGCCCAGGCTATCACAGGTGTGCCTTTGTGCAGACAGGAAGACCCATTTAAACCATCACCCCAGTGCTACTGTTTCCTTCCCAACAGTAGAAACGGTTCCCGCTAATCAGAGCAACGCACCTTAAAAATAGAACCTACAAACTGAAATGTCAATGATGACACGTGTTAAATCAGATCCCCCATTTGCAAAATGCTGTTTAACCTATTACTTAATGGAAGTGTTAGGAAGACGTGGCATTCAGGCCTTCCCAAAATATTTATCTACAGACATGTGAATTTTTCTATCTAACATTTTTAAAAAGTTACAAGAACATACTTTTCTTAGTTGATGTTCAAGAACCTTCAGGTAACAATTTACAAGATTTTTTAAAGCTCCTTTCAGTGTAGTAGAACTCCACTAAAATACATAAATGATATCTACCCCTCATATTAATGAAAAAAACTCAACGCAAATAAGAGAATTTCAAAACATTAAAATAAAGCAAAATACTACCTTGGAAGGCAACTTTTGGAAATATAAAATTCAAGTTCTTGTTAACATGATTTAAAGGATATAAGGAAAACAGAATCTCCACAAAGGTATTTTTAAGAAACTCAGACACTATGAACGTGGTTCTCATGCTTTAAAATCAGGCAAAGATTTGTTTATTCTTCTTAGTGTCAAAGTGAAATGACATTAGTAATAGGGAATATCCTTAAATTATTTGCTAAACTCAGGGCACATAGCTAAGTCATTCAAAGGAGAACAACCCTATATGAAAAGGATACAGGGTTTTGACATAGGAGTCTACTACAAATTTATCAATATATATCTGGACCTGGTGAGAAAGACCCAGAGGACACCTCAAGCTTGACTTTTCTCCGGTCGAGGCCAGAGCAGTTCAGAATGAATTGTTTTCTAGGTGACAAGCCAACAGACATTTGGCTATGAATAAAGAGAAATACCTCTTTGGCCTTGATTCTGAAATGAAAGATAAAATAATAAGACATTCCATAGGTAAAACCACTAAAGATCAATATTCCCATTACCAAGTGTACTAATTTTAAAGCAATGCCTGTGGCTGTGATTATCTCTTTGATGGTCTATTAATAAAAAGAAAAACCTAAGTTCAATTCTAAATATTTTGTAGTGAATAAATGTTTGAGTAAGATGGAAAGGATGAATTATGCTGTAAAAAATCCAGCCTGCTCTGAACATGGAGGAAGTGCTTCCTGTTGAAGCTAAAATGCTTCCCAAACTGGGGAAGAATTTAGTAACCATCAATTTCCACTAAAGAGAATAACTGGCTTTGGGATGCCTGGGTGGAGCAGTCAGTTGAGTGTCCGACTCTTGACTTCAGCTCAGGTTATGATCTCAGGGTCATGAGATCGAGCTCCACATTGGGTTCCATGCTCAGCAGGGAGTCTACTTGATATTCCTCTCCCTCTGCCCCTCCCACTCATGTTCTCTCCCTTTCTTTCTCTCTCTCTGTCAAATAAATAAATAAATCTTTTAAAAAATGATAATAATTGGCTTTGCTGTCATTTATCATTAACACTAGATAAATTGACCTGTCTTGTAAAATGACTGTTCATTTTAAAAAAAAAAAAAGGTCAACTTGGGAAAAAGAAATAGAAGTCAGTGACCACACTATTCAAAGAAAACAAATTAGAAAGGAAATCTGGTTGTGGAGTACATTAGTTGGTTTTTGTTTGGCTGCAAATTCTGAAAGAGAGTCCATATCATGAGGTCTTATGTGATATATAATGGACAACTGATCACTCACAAATTCCATCCTAGAGAACAGTTCACCATAATCAATACATATTTACCAGATGTGAATGGCCTATTCTGAAAGTAGGAACTACTTCTGTTAGCCTTCTACACAAAAGAGTCAGAGCCTAGCAAAAGGCCACATTGGTAAAGACCTCAAGTCAATAACACAAGTCAGTCATGCACATGTAGAAAGGGAATCACACATACTCAGTGATACCAATCACCTTTTCCATTAACCACAAGAAGAAATGAATGAATTTCTCTATCATTTTTAGTTGCTGTCATGTAACTGTAGGATCTTCACCATGAGTATTAATTACAAAACATTTTGCCACCTCACACACACACACAAAATCACATTTAAAATACACCACATTTTCCTGCCATTCCTCAAAAGTTTGCTTTTCAAAGGGAGAATCATTCATTAGTTTTGCTATCTAATTTTATCAGCACCTCCTGCCTTTACCAAGAGAAGGACAAAGTTTGATATTCTCTTTACACTATAGCTCAACCACCACTAACCAAAACATAACATTAATCAGAGCTGACACATCTTATTGGTAATTTAGATACTTACTGTTTTTCTTGTACAGAAGAACTTCAAAGCAGTTTGAATCGTAGTTGTCAAAAGTCTGTCTGACTTTCTCAATGGTCTTCTTGTCAGTCAATTCTCCATACATAAAACTGGGAAAAAACAAACAATCCATTTCAGTTTTGTGTTGCTTTTCAAATGCTATATAAAATCACATAGTTGTCTCTTTTGATTGAGTATTCAAATTTAGGTATAAAATTAAATACTGCTCCCACAAAACAAACTAAATTATTGAAACAATGTTTTAATTGTGATTGTTAAACTTCTTGCTAAAAGCTAGGTTTAGAAATTATTTCATATGTATATATATATATATGTATATATATATATATATATATAAAGAAAGAAAGAGAGAGAGAGAATCACCAACTTACATAGTTCATATAGGCATGAATTTCAGTAACTATGGTTTAGTTAAATAACACCAGTTTCCCAACAGCACAATTCAAATTTCATTTATCATAGTATATTAGCTGTAAATAACGGCATAAAGTATAAACTTTGCTGTTAGCTCCTCAGCCTACAAATCACTAGTAAATAACAGATACACATCACAATCAGTAACCAATCACATCACTTCTTTCAAAGCCCCTCAGTCTTGGTCCCGGTGCATCTGTTATTCAGTTCATGCCCAGACTCAAAGCATGTAGTTGTGTTGCCTCCTTGGCTCTCAGCAATAAACCCATGTGACATTTTACAAAAACAGATCATTGAAAGCAGGAGTTAGCCATCAAAGATTAAAGTCTAGCAAAGAAAAGAGAAATGATAATGCTGGAAGGGGACATTCATACTGAACATAAATGAAGGTATAGATGAAACACAAGACTATGGCATATTGACACTGTCGTCATTTGAGAGACTCTAGATGTGCAGCCAGAAGAACTTAGGGAGGGTGAACTTATCAACATAAACCAGGAAAGCGATTGTGACAAAAAGGATCAAGTTTTCCCAGAGGAAGTGTCGCCAGTAAAAAAAATTTCACATTAAAAAAACCACAGGAGATAGTTCACAATCGTGAGAGTACAGGAATAAAATAGTTGTGGTTGATGCAGATTTATGAAGGAGTATGAGCATTTACTAAGAGAAAAAAATGCTCTCTTCATGTCATGCTATATTAGGAGAAGGCAGTATAATTCAAGTGACTCATGATAGTTTTCTTAAAAAGAAATGAAATGCTTTAATTCTCAATGTTTCTTAAGTTCTAAATCACAGTGTGCTAAATATGAGTTTTACTATTATTTGCATTTCCCTGCATTTATAACCAAGAGTAAGAGAGTTTTTAATGTTTTGACAGACATGGGTAAAGTCACAGAATAATCACAAATTTTTCCACTGAGTTTTAAGATCGTATTGCATGGTTTCAGCCTGCATGGTCTTTTTTATTTTCTCACACACAAGGATATGTGAAGAGTCCATGTTACACATATAATACAACAACATTCTCATCAGTTATGAGGATTTTTCTCAAGACAGGTGCAGGTGTTGCTAACAGGAGAAAAATGATGGTGATAAATTGAAGAAGATATACACTGTTGCCATGGGTGAGGGAACATACAAAACATATGTTAAAGAGTGAGATTTTACATGCCACAAAAATTTCCCAATGTTTGAAATTATCTGTTTTTCTAAGAGAACCTCACCAAAAGTGTGATTATCTACACAACTGAACCAGTCAAGGACTACAAGCCTCTAAAACTTTACTTGTGATGCTTCCACAATCATCAGTTGTGCATCTGGTTTTAGATACACAGTTCTACTAGTTAGCATAATTGTCCAGAACCTATCTTCCACCAGAAAAGAATATGTGGCACCTGCCAGATACCTTGACTAAGTTTCTGAAGGTTCAAGTCTATCTTTGTTTTTGCTTTTCTTCCAGTTTCAATGAGTTTGCATATCAGCCAGAGGCTAATCCAAGTGAGGTAGGGCCTAAAGCTTATACAATCTTAGGGACCCTCTTTAAAGAAAATAATACAAAATTATAAAACAAAATTAGGTACAGAGCTTTGGAAAACACCCACTCAAGGAAGGGCCTCTGAGTTAAGATTCACTGTCTTCAAGGGAAATCTGCCCCTGAATTTATCAACCTAGAAAATTTACAACATGAAAAATATAGTTGAATAGCAAAATAAAAAAACAAAAACAAAAACAAAAAAAACCTAGTGGATTTAACAGCAATGCCATATCACAGCCAGAAATTACAGAGTCATGGCCCATCTTATGATAACACCTTGAGCAACTAGAATTCTAGAAACTAAAAAAGGGAAAGAAATAAAGCTTATTACCAAAGACTGCCTAATCTGCATCCTGCATTTTCAATTATAGTATTTCTATCTTTTATTAAAAAAGAAAATTTTCATTGTCATTATAACAGTAAAATAAGAGAATCTCAGAATAAAATGACAGATTCTAACCCCATAATTTCAGAGCCAGACTCACAGAAGAAGCCTCCAAGCCTACCTATAACACAGCACTGAAAAACCATTATTTCTGCCAAAGCCTGAACTCCAGCTCATGACAGTCTCATGAAAAATCTCTTAAAGGCATTACACTGAAACTAGAATTACTCAGTTAAAGGCACCCTCCTTGCCCTCCAAAAAATAAGACACTACTTTAATACTGTTAATATTTTTTACACACAGGTGAACTTTTTAAATCAACCAGTTCCTTTTAAATTGACTGTTATTTTTAATTTAAAGACTTGTTAGTAGAAAGAAAACATTAAAAAACAGGAAAAAAGTTAAGATATGGTTAAGTTAACTAAATGTTTATGGTCTTAATAGGAAAGAAAAGAAAAACCATCTTACTCCTGTTAGTAAATGTCAGAGCTCTATAGTTCAATAAACTAAAACACAATATCCACAACTGGCCAACAGAAAAACATTTAAAACAAGAAAGCATCTACAATATAACAAGCAATTAAGATTTTAAAAATTTTGAAAAATTAATAGGATTTAAAAATAAGTTACAACTTAAAAAAACTGTCTTGGAAATTGATGTAATAATATCACTTAATAAAAAATAAAACACAAGTCCAATTCAGTGAAAATTCCAAAGAGAAGATGAAAAAAGCAACTTTTCAAATAAACTCTAAAAATTCTATAATATATTCTTCATTAATTTAGCCCTCTCAATGGTAAAATTACCTGTCCTAATAGAGGCACTTTAAGAAAAAAAAAATCCCAGATTATTACAATCTGAGTATTTCATTAAAAATTTGTCTTTTATTTCTTACATTGTTTCACTCATGTTTTTCATTTTAAGTTTATTAAACCAAATATATGTAACAGAATGCATATTTGAGGTGGTAAAATGCAGCAATTAACGAATAAAAAATATTTCAAAATGAAATATATATAAAAAATATAAAAGATGTCTGAAATGTATTATCCATCCTCCCAATGAAAGTATTTCCATCTGATGTTCAAACCATACTGATGAAGTCAATGCTTCCACAAAGTCTATGAGAATGGCACATTTGTTTATTTGCTCAGCTATTTACATGTAAATGCTGAGTGTCTTTATCAAGCTTTCCAGCAGCCTGACTCTGGAAGGCTGAAGCTCAATGCAGTCTTTGAATGGTTAATGGAATTTGAAGGAAACCAAGATTTAGAAATGGTAATCATCAGGCTTTGGAAACTGTATACCTATATAATAATTTTGCACATTTTTTATGTGTACCCTCCAGGAATATATAATGGGAATATAAAAAATTTTCAGAACTTCAAATTGCTCTATTAGAATGCCAAGCTCTCCTTAGAGTAATTATAAATGACTTCCTCAGCTGCACTGTTATCTTATTGGAAAGGAAAATAAAATTAGATGCTCAGTAGCTATCTATCCCCGCTATAATACTGAGTGGTCACGATATAAGAGAAGTCCACCCACCACTTACAAACTGCATAATTCATGGGCAAGACATATAATTGCTTTGACCTTCAGTTTCCTCATCTGTAAAATGATGATAATGTTCATATACCTCAGAGGGTGAGGGTTTTAAAAAGATAATGCACATGAAGTCACAAATTATAATGGGCTGTACAATGGCTGAATTATGACTGGAATACTTCTTATGGGTGGGGTTAGAAGAAAACCCCTCCAGGCCCAACCCCACTACTCTCTAGCTCCTCTACAATTCTAGAACAGGGGTTGGGCCATGCTTGCTAATGGGCAGGGTCACTGTGTCTTAAAGGGATACATACATCACTTTGTGTGTCTCCTTTCTTTATGAGCCATGAGGTTGAAGCACAAACCCAGGGCCTACTCCTGAATATTCTGGCCACTTTTCTTGCCACACAACTAACTGGTGGTAAAATTTGGTCTTGGGAGTAAGGGAGAAATTTTCCTGAGGCCTGGCCTAGGCTAAATCCAGCTTGCCTGAGCATTGGGCAGTATAACTTTCATGTATTTTCTGCCCTGGCAAATTTCTAAGGACAGGTCGCCTTGGTTTATAGCAGGATTTACCTATTCTTGGATCCCTTGTTCTGTCAATAAAATCTCACAAACAAGCCTCATTATGATACCTACCAGCAAGGATGGCTATAAATGTTGACAGAGTTTCAAGGGAGAGAGGAACCTTACAAACAAAAAATATATATATAACCTATTCATGAGTTCTGCCAATCTATCTTAATCTGCTAATGGTCAACAACGCTCTTGGACTAAAACACCATATTTAGTCACCGCAAAAAGGATAATATTATCTACAGGCTGTAATTCACAGCCTAGCAAATGCTTCATCACAGAAACCACACAGATTGACTTAATGCAGTTGGTAAATGTGGTCTCTCGCTCAGAATCAGCCACAAGAATAAAATTTTCACAAAAGTTAATGGGAGAATGGGCTCAAATCTATATAGTCAAAGGATCAAAAAGTAAAAAGCCTGAGGGGGGGAGTAAGGAGGAAAATTTACAAACAAATAACACAGCTTTCAAAATCTTAAAGAGGTAATTTTAGAATAAATCAAAGCTTTATACATTGAATCGTAACCAAAATGTTTCACAACCCATTAATTTATATGAGCTTAAAATGATTTAGATAGAGTCATAAATGGTAGATCCATGGCATGTAATTAATGGAAACCAGGGAGAGCCG